GCACCTGGGAAATTGATCAAGAAGCTATTAAACAATGGAATGGAAGGTTAAATGAACTTGGTATCTGTTATCGACATTTTCTCTTTGATCAAAATCAGCTGCATTATAAAAATATTCAAATACTAGGAACGGATCAAAGTAATCTTCACCATACACGGTGCATGTTTTGTAATAAATATAAAAGCTTTTTCACACGTGGTCAGGGATGTTCCAAGCATTCGTGGATAGTATGTGGACGCAATATTAGAGTTGCATGTTTAGGATTACGAACGTGTGAAGCATTACATGAATGTTTCTTAATTTCTATCTTATCAACAAACAATACGCGACCCTTATACATTTGTTCGGAGTGTTTTGAAGCCAACGGTGGCCATTTACATAAAAGATTAGGGAAAGGGTTTACAGAGTTTAGTTGCGACAGTAAACATGATGATTTAACTGCAATTCTAGAACAATTTGGAAATTGGATTCAATTAGTAGCAAAGTCGGGTAATGAATTACAAAAACAGCAACTTATCTGGTCATTATTGCCAGCGATTGAGTCAATAAAACCATATTTGCCACAGGATTTGATTCATAGTCGAATAGATACATTTAAGAAACCAATTCTACCAACTTTATTAATAATTCAGATAGCATTTAAATTAGCAAAAATAGATTTAAGTATTAAAGCAAAAGCAGCGATTTTAAAAGAAAAAGAATGTGCATACTTTGGAAATCTTCTTGGAGAATCTTTATGGCAATCTCGTCTCTTGCTTAAAGACAATTTACCAATCTTAGAAAATCCACAATCACTTGAACAATATGCTTCAGCATTTCCCCGAACTCTGTGGTCTTTTTTTAGTAACCTTATTACTTTTTTTTTTAAAAAAAAACATGAAGTTGCAGAACGGCAAAGAAAATTACGCGGGTCACCATTAATTCCACTGGATTTAGCATTAATTAACAAAATTACAATTTTTTTAGTATCAATTATAGTAGGAATTGCCTTTCGCAGATGGAAAATTTGGTTACCTCACATTTTGGGCTCACTTTGTAGACGTCCACACATGATCTCAAAACTTCATAAAATTCTTCATTCCGCATATATAATTTCCTACGGTTGGGATCACGAAGTTCGTACAGAAAGATGGCGTATGGAATGTTCTAATCCTGCAAGTCGACTTGAAGCTGAAAATAATATCTACAATTTGTCAGTTATTGACAATATTGATATAAAAGAAAAAACATTCGCACGTGGAAATATTTATGATACTGCACGAAAAACTGCACATGCCACTTTGCGGGTTACATTTCAATTTAGGCTTCCTCCAAATTTGCAAACTACTTCAATCTTTTTTTCTGAACGATCTGATCAAGTTACGATTGGATCATCGACAGTTACGGAAAATCTAAACAAAAATTATGATAGAATTTTTAACAAGTTACTTTTAGAAAAAACAAATAATTTCGGCATTAATGATATTCACCTGAAAGTTATCGAAAATATTCAAATCGGATGCAAATTTGATAAACCGAAGATAGTAATTCTAAATCCTGGACCAGCGCCAAATTCTAATAAGAATGTATACGAGACATGTGATATGTTTTTGAATAATGTAGCAAATACAGGAGCTACCACGGTCGATATTGCATGTGACGAAGCTATTTTTCGAAGACTTAAAAACTATGAAAATAAAAATCTTAATGTTAATATTATTCTTGGACAGTGGCATACTTCAAAAGATATGTGCCAAGCTTTAATTACGGCTTTTTCTGGATATGGAATTTTCAACATGGCAACACTACTTGGTGTCCGATATTTGGAAAATTTAGAAAAAGGTTCGGATTATCGTGCAACTTGTACAGTTCTTGAATTAATCTGGGCAGCAGTTGGAATTGCAATTCACCGTTATCTACAAAATACAAAAGAAACTATTGATAATATTAAAAATGGTTCTAATAATATTTTAAAAGTTTGGTTAAATTTCTATCGGTGGGCTGGATATTGGAAAGCCCATAAAATTGGTATTCGAAGAGGAGATTTTGATTTGCAAATTGCATGTCTTGCTGCATTTGCACCACTTTTTCCAGTTACTGGCAAGTTTAGATATGCAGAGTCAGTTGCTATTTTTTTAGGAAGATTGCATAAAAATACTCAGCTTCAAGAAAGACTAATTCGAGTGCCATCCATCAATATTATACGTGAAGGACATTATCTAGCATATGATGAAGCAATAGAAACATACGGTGTTAAGTCTGTTAAACAAGTAATGACGGGAAAGTCTGGAGATGAAAAAAACTTACATCGACAAATAAAAGGAAGTCAGGATGAAATTGAGCGATTATCTGTTCTTGATGAATTCGTTGGCAATATAATAGATATCGATATCGATATTGATGACTGTATTGCACCAGATCGATGTGAGCAATTATGGATTTTAAGCGATCAAATATATAGTGCATTTCAAAATTCAGATCCAAATAGTCTTCCTCTTTTTGAATACACGACGCAAAATACTTCAAAAGGATACACTAACATGGAAACTTGTTATCAACATGGAATAGAGCGTATGGAAGATCTACTTGCGCAAGAAGTTTATTTAACTAAAAAAAAGAATTCAAAAGGAAGAGCAGTTAAAAACTTAGATAAAGATACTGTAACGGCTTTAAAACAACGAAAAAAACAAGAAAAAA